AAAAAAAAAAATGGAGGATGAGTCAGGGTTGTGGTTGTCTGCCAGAATCTTTCATCAATTGAATTGTATCCAGTGAGCCTCATTTTTACATTACACTTGTTAGATCTTAGCCGTTGTTAAATATATATTTTAACTGGGGGAAGTATTTTAGTCATCGCATGTCTTGATCTTATGTTATTAGAGAAACAAGCAAAGCAAACATTAGCAGTTAGTTAGCTGCCCCTCTATCCAATGTCTGCCAAGCTTTTATTTTGAGAGACCTGTAGTGGCCAACATTTACATTTTGTGCATTTAAAGGATGTGTCTGTTGATTTTCTGTATCTTTCTTATGTAGACAAATCTCAAGATGACCTAAAATGACAATTATTGAGGAATAAATTAGTACCCACATCCTAATATTTACTCTATTTCTGTGCCGTATAGCTCCATTGTTCTTTGAAAACACACAAACGGGCCATACTGGGTTACATGTGCAACGAAAAGATACACCACTTTGCTGCTAGGTAATTATACACCATTTGACATGAGGTTTGTTACCTGTGAGTTCAAGTTGCCAACATAGACGGTCCTCCTGATCTCATCCACTTTTGAGGGGTCCACATTTCCCATGAGGGGGGTCTGGGTGAGCGATGATGCTGTGGGGTCCAGAGCAGCTGACAGCCGACTCACTGCGGGGACGTTCAGCTGCAGGTATCAAACACACACACAGGTTTTACTTAAGATGAAAGCTCAAAGGAGACACATAAAAGAGGACACGAGAGGTGCTGACTCACATTCTGAAGGGGAGCGGGAGTAGGAATTGGCAGCAGCCCCCCACCAGGAATTAGACTAGGTGCTGGAGCGGCAGGCGCCAAAAGAGACAAGGCTTTGGCCTCTTCTGGGATTTTCCCTGCAGGACAGAAGCAGATATTAGTGAAGGCATTAGAGGGACTCGTCTCTATGTCTCCTCTATGTCTGCTCAATTAGCCCACTGTATTCTAGAGAGAAAGAGAGCATACACCTCCCCATACAGCCTACAACTGTCTACTACTGGAGACCGAGCAGCATTACTTCCATTTGTTAAATTATTCATTTCAGTCAATCTGAATTATTATTGTCAATGAAAATCTTTACTTTGTTTTCAAAAACACTCTTGTTTTGTCCTTGGTCTCTTTTCATAGATCAAAAAAGAATAAGAAAAAACACAATGCAGAGAATGAGTCAACACTTTGATGCATGGGTCACCTGTACTGGAAACATATTGGTCATGAACCATACGATATCAAGCATGGGCGCTTTTCCGTGGGGGCGATCGTTTCGCAGTGTTGGAAAGGTGTGCAACACAAGACAACCCCAATGGCTGCATCACTAATAGCACACAGGACATCAGATACAGAGAAGAACAACAATTTTAAGAACTGTAGGAAATGTTAGCCAAGACTAAAAACAACCAATTAGGATTTATTTGTTTCCGATTCCACTTCCATTAAGGGTTGCTGCTTTTATAGCTGGAGAAGAGAGCTACGTTAAGACCACTAAGAAACAACATATTCAAATTCAGTTCATTGTAGCTGGAAGCCCTGAGCATGATTACCACAGGAAATGTTCTTCTAGTGCTGGAAATATATAAAACAAATAGCGACGCAAAGCTTTAAATCATGTGTCACATGTTGAAAAGAAAAGATGATGTTGAATGGAGTGACTTTGTGCTATTATAATGTATTAAACATCCATAGCAGAGCTGTAATGTGAGTGTAAATAGAATTTAAAATATTCTACTAGTTCTCACATTCATAATGTCTAGCTCCTCACTATGTGAACAGGTGTAGGCGACAAGAGAGTAAAGTGTTAGTGATCCTCCTAGCATCCCATGTGTGATACACATCCCACCGGTATGCCGTAGCAACCTGGACAGAATTCAATCACACACAAGCTGCAGCTGTAGCAGGAAGAGAGAGGGGGGTGGGGGTTGGACAATAATCAAAACAACAAACCAAAATAACAAATATAAACACAAAGCTAGAGATAAGCAGTACTATAGTTTCTAGATAGAGACAGTAGAGAGTGGACAACATGGGAAAGTATGAAAGGAAACAAACCAAAATTAAAAATTAAATAAATAAAAAGAGACAAGGTGTCCATCTTGGAAGGCTCAGCAGGCTATTCTCCTGGTCACATTCCCCCTTGAAGGCTGCGTTGGCCCGATCGGGGATAGTGGCTTGGAAAACAATGCCTGACTCAGGCTAGTGTAGTGTAACAGCTGGGCCAGTCTAGTCATCTGATATGCACACATAATCACACAGAAAAAACATACAAAACCAAATTAATAAACTCAGTAGCCATCCAGCACCAAGTCAGGTGGACAAAAAGCATCAAGTTAGAGGTGATATCACTTGTTTGACTGTACACAAGGGAGGCAGGTTTAAAGAAAAAGGAGCACCAAAAATGAAAGAGAGAGAAAGGGGATTAATTCAACTGTGATACTTATTTTCATGAAACAAGTAATGGCAGTTTATTAAAGAAAATACACAAGCTACTTGTTTCACATAATCCAGTGTTTACAGTGAGTAAAGGATGTAGTGGAGCTTCGAAAACAGTCACCACTGCTCTAATGATAGAAACAACCACCTTGTGACAGCAAACAGAAACCTTGGCTGGGCACTACAGGAAATAAGATGGCTAGGTTTTTTAGGGTGATACAACCAGACACCTGTGTACAAAACTAGCGTCATCAGTGGCTAAAATCAAGACTACCCAACTGGCACAACTCTATGTGAGAAAAAGAAAACAACCCATAATTCAACCAAAACACCAAACGGTTGGATTCAAAAAGGGACGACCTCATAGCAATTCGTACATTGCATTTGTATTACTTTAAAGAAACCGACTTTCACTCACCTTCCGCACATGGCACCACTATCAAAGCTCTGTCAATAAAAACAGTATTGGTGAGATGTTGCGCCACACAAACACTGGAGGGGTCCCTGTACTTTATATAGCACACTTTGGACGAGAAAGACAGAGGGGCATTGCTGTGAAATAAAGCATAAACAGAAAACAAGGCGGGTTAGTTATATTTTTCATCCGTTATATCATTATTTGCATGTTTTAGTGGGTTGCAGAAAGGCCTCAGATCCACGGTGTTGCATAGCTAGACATGCCGGGGTAGGCTGCTCTTACTCGGGCGGGTAGAGCCGCAGCTCGTCGATGTCTCCCAGGAAGCCAAACAGGGTGTGCATCTGCTCGCTGCTCACGGCCGAGGACAGGTTGGTAACCTGGACGACAGCAGTCCCTGGTATCCCGCTCATTGTGCAAACTGTTAGAAAACGTTGAAAACCTATAAATGGTGTTTATATACAATCTTTAATTCTGTCACCCCGCTCGGCGCCGTGCAGCTTACATCCAAGCGGGCGGAGCGACAGGCTTCACGGGCTTCTTCTTATTTTTAAAACCAGGTTGATAATTAACTCTGTGGTTCACTACTGCCCTCTATTGTGTGGAAAGTAAAAGTACTAACTACACTAAAAATACTGCATTACAAGTAAAAGTATTGCATTGAGAATAGTACACGTAAAAGTATGAAACAGGAAACATATACTTGAAGTATATTTGCAAGGAGAAAAATCTCAAAATTATAAAAAATTAAATCTTAACTTTCGAGAAGCTGAAACTGTAATGTTTCTCAACACACTTATTGTTTCAGGTAGCCTACTTGAATATAATGTTGGATGGCATCATATTACACAAGTTATTCCTAAGTGGTGTGTGTAAAAATCTGAATTGATGAAGTAGCTAACTACATTTATAAAATAAATAAATAAGTAAAAAGTACAATATTTACATTTGAATTGTCATGAAGTAGAAGAATGACGGCACGGAAGGAAAATTCAATAAATAAATGCTCCTCAAGTTGGTACAATCATGAATGTTAAAATAGTTCATTGAAATGTTATGATATCAAGATCATGTTCAGGCCTACTTAAACAATATAATATGGTTCATTGCCAGAGGTAGAATAAGTAGGCTACTGTAGATTATTTACTTAAGTAAAAGTAGCAAACAGTGTACAAATACTCAGTTAAAAGTATATGTCCTGCATTCAAAATTGTACTTAAAAAGTAGTAGTAAAAGTAGCCTAGTACCAAATATGTTTTAATTATTGCATTAAAATTCGTGGTGCATTTATGTTTTCTTCACTTCAATGTTGCACTTGCCCCAGGTTTGTTTGAATTACTTTATACACTATAGGGTAGCTTAACCTAAAATAATACATAATAATGTATTAATTGATTTATATTTTAAATCTGCGAAGTAACTAAATATGTCAGAAAGTGAAAATACTCACGTAAAGGCTACAAATACCTCAATGTTTTACTTATGTAGAGTAGCCTACTTGAGTAAATTGGTTACATGTCACCGCTGTTCGTTCATCACATGTATGGGGAACTTGTGGTAGGGGTAAATTGAGGGGAGTTTAGTGAACTGACTGCTATAGGGACATAAATCATTTTTGTGATGGACCTGTAGCGCCTTCAAGAGGGGAGAAGTTGAAAAAACTGGATCGATTAACGGGTTAAGAGTTAACTGGTTATTTCTATTTTACGGGGTAAAGGTCCCCCAGTTTCCACCGGGTCCGTCTGCGCCGCGCTGCGTCGCGTTACGGCTGCGCCGCGGCGGTGAGGATCGCGGCCACTCTAGTCAATGGGTGCTATTCCACCACACGCGCCGCGTTGGCTCAGACGCGTCCCAGAAGCGGCTCGGCGCAGCGCTTCTCTAAAATTAGGATGAATCTTATTTTTGCCGCGGCGCAGCCGTAACATAAGGTCGGGCAGGCAGCCCCCCCTCGCAGGAAGTGGAAAGGTGAGCATCCGGGCCAGGCCCATCCCCCACATATACTAATTTAGCAGACTCCTTCATCACAACACCTCCACTACGATACGCACAATGGACGACGAGGTTTTCATCATGGAAGTGGAAAAACAAACTATTTTATATGATGTAACCAATGCTTACTACAAGGACAACATCAGAAAGGACAAGGCCTGGTTTTTAGTCGCTGCAGTTTGTGGAGTGGAAGGTAACAACTACATATTAATGTTTTAAAGTTAATTAATACTTGTAGGTACAGTACAGAGCCATTCAGTAGTTTAACATCTTGTGAAAGTCGTTAAAAAAACTGTTCAGTAAACTTGCATTTCACAATAAAGTAAGATCTTATTTCCTATATCAAGATTATAATATTATTATATTATTATTATTTTGTATTTATATTTTTATAAATATTGTTTTTTTAACTATACTTTATCTTGTGAATTTAGCCCAGGGATCAATACAGTTGTGTTTAACCCTTTATAATGATATTATATTTTTGTATTATAATATGTTTTATTCATGTGTTATAACAACTACCAAAGTACTGTCAATAATGTTTAAATACAGTATGCTGTGGTGGAAAACCTTGCATTTATAGTCAGATAAATTGTGAGGACAGACATGAATAATTTGGCAGTCATTTGTCAGACAAAACAATTTATTATAAATTGTATTACATACAAAACATACAGTACAATAACCTTTTTGTTCATCAATTTGTCAGTGTAATAACTGTTGTGTGCAGCGGCCCAGCGTTCCACACGGGACACAAGGAGGAGGCCACAGAGCACAGACCTTGGAGAGCAGCTGATGTCTCTACTGCAAGGCAAGGCAAGTTTATTTATATAGCACTTTTCAACACAAGGCAATTCAAAGTGCTTTACAAAAAATGAAAGAGATTAAGAAAATGGCATTTAAAATCAGTCATTAAAAAGAAAAGCTAATAAATGCATGCAGGAACCTCCAACTGCACCACACATGCCAGACTCAGAATTAGAGGAGTCATACCACTTTGCTCTCAGTCTTGTGCCCATGTTGCAAAGACTGGACAAAGACAGAAAACATCAGGCAAAAATCTCTATTTTAAACACCATCCACAACTTGGAAATATACACCAGCAACATTGGCAGCCCATTGACCATCCCCCCGCCACTCAACATTCCATTCACACCTCCAGGCCAGTACCCTTTCGGCCAAGTGTACCCCAACCCCCACGCGCCCAATCAACACCTACAGGGCCATCAGACATTCTGTCCTCCAGCAGTAGCTCAGCATGGCAGGAGTCTTTTTACGAACAATTGTAGTTGAGCAATTGAGTTCATTGTTTTTCACTGTAAATAGTTCCTTGTTTTGTGTTGATTGTTTATATTTGATGTTTCTGTTTAAAATGTTGTTTGGGGTGAAATTGTTAAAAATAAAACGTTTATTAAATTTGTGGTCAGTGATTTATTGTCTGTGAAATGTGCATTTTACCTCAGTGCAACAGCCAGTCTCTGCTTGGGTTCAATGGCAGCTCTGTAATTTGTGGATTGTCTGGTCAGTTCAGGGCCCAGGAGGGACAGCAGTTCATCCATCTGCTCTGCACTCATCCGAAAATATCGATGATGTCTTTGGCTGTCCAGCCTCAGCTCAGCCACGAGGTGATGAAAATCACCTTGTTGTCTTCTTTGCTGGTTGAGGGGGTGCACCCAAAACCGGCTCCTTCTCCTCCCCCCATCCCCCCGTAGTCTTTCAAGTATAGGAGAATAAATGCCAGCGTTCTCCTCCGGTTTACAGGCACTGTAAATTATATATATAGAATAATTATGATGATGAATGCATTTGTTTACCACTAAAATACAGCAACACATATTTGATTCATGTAACGAGACTATTACAATTATTATTAACTGTGTCTGTAGACAATAACAACAATAAACACAATTTAAACAGACACAAATAAAACATTTAACTACGTAGCATACTTACTTTCTTGTAGAAGTACAAATGTCCAGGATGCCCGAATCAATAACAAAACTGCGAGCCTGCACGCACGACGTACGCTTCTGGGACGCGTCCGGTGGGTTATGGCGCTAGAGGAGGTCGGACCAAAACCGCGGCGCAGACGGACCCGGTGTAGGCCTACATTGAATTAACTGAGGAGCAGACATAATCATGGAGGCTTTATTTATTTCTCTTCATCGTGAGACCGCCTCCAGCTCCTGTGGAATAAAAGTAAAAAGTGGGCATAATGTTGACTTTAGCAGTGAGAAAAAAACGTTTTATCAGAGCAGCATTTTTAGTCCCAGTCCGCCCCTGGGATCAGAACGCCACATTTACTCAATTATGAAACAAAAAGTCAACTTTTGCATTTACATAATCAAATGTACTGCTCATGCACAGGCAAGCACGAGCTTCAGTGAAAGTCATGGCAACAGAGCATTACGTTCTAACGACGAGGCTATAAAATGCTGCAGAGCTTCAATCAGTCATTTGCACTCAGACTTGACACAAGTTCACATGCGAAAACTGGAGAGTTGAATTTTGATCCCAAAAACTTCTAGAATAACCAACAGTTTGATAACTGAGCATCAGTAACACCTTAAGTAAATCTACAGAAAAAAACTATACCAGCTGTTAACATGGCTTCAGGACCCCCTGCGGAGGAACACCTGCTGACCCGTGTCACACGGTGGTTCAATGGCTTTGCTGGTAATACATCATTTAATTTCATGCCAAATATATTTATAAATGTTTATTTAGTCACTTTTAGTTATTTTAAGTAAGAAATGTGCATTCAATTACGTGAAATTGTTAAATATTAAGATTCAGACATAATGGAATGTTGGCTTGAAAGTTGGAAAAACAAGATTTGGGGTCACTCAACGTTTTTTCGGCATAAAATGAATAATATACGATAGAACTGGGAGAACTTTGGCGGGACAGTTGTAGAATGGGTTAACAAAGCTGTAGTGATTTGAAACCTGGTTATTTTTTGTTTAACGGCCTCATATTGACGAATTAAGTGTCGAAAATGAACAAAACAAAATGGCGACCAGCACCATGGTGATAATAGAACGTACAGGTCTAGGTCGTTTCTCTGTAGGGACAGTTGAGTTTTGTGTTAAATGTATCTGGATATATGTTGTGGTCTTCTTAAGTTCAACAATATCACATTTGTTTGCTATATTTCCATCTAACATTTAAATATTCTAAAGTTAATATATAGTTTGTGTTTTCTGAAGAGTGTTCCGATATGCTGTTTCCGCACATCATTATTTGTATCTCAAAATTAAAGAGAGTTACCAATTATTAGTAATTCATTTGCCCTGCCAAAACACACATTATGGATGTGATTATTTTGGAGAAGCCAATGTAATTTAACGATGAGCAGGATTATTGTGTTATTAAATTGACTTATTATTGCCTCACTAGAGACAGTAGGCGACAGTATGTCATACAACTCAAACCAACTGAATACAACTCAACCTTATTCACTTATGCTCTACAGTCCCTGTTACAGCTATTGTGCTCATATAGGGAAGATACAAATGTATAAATATAGCATTGTCATAATTTGCTCTTATTTAAATGACCAGATAAATAGTGAAATAGTTGGCCTTCATTACAGTTTTCAGTTACACCCGTCTGATTTGGCTGGCAAATATGCAACAGCAATTTGCATAATACATTTTTTTAGAAATAACATGATAATTACACAACAGCACCTTACCTGTATTTCGTCATGCGTTATCAAACCACACAAATACCAGTAGCTGAATTGCACACTATTTGATAATAATCTTAGAGGGGGCAGTGTTAAGTGGTGGCTTTTCTACTAACTGATTAATGATGCGTTTAGACCAACTGATTAGGTCTGTTTCATAGAAGTGCAGAATGTGACTTTTTTCAAATACCTGTCTTGTTCCTCAGGTGGCTCCCTGTGGCCTGTGACCAACGCTCGCCCTGATGCTGCGACTCCTCTCAATGACCCGGTCCTGCCTGAGGTCGATGAGGAAGAGCTCGGCGCAGTTGGGGTGGCCGCTGTGGACGGGCTTCATGAGGCTCAGGCTGAGCCTCATGGAGGTAATGGAGACAGTGAGCAGCCCCCTCCTGCTGCTCCTTCTCCTGTTTATTACACTCTTCCCTATGCTGTTCCCTATTATGTTCCTTATTCTGTTCCTTATGCTGTTCCCTATTATGTTCCTTATGCTGTTCCCTATTATGTTCCCTATTCTGTTCCTTATGCTGTTCCCTCCCCTTACTATGCTCCTTGTTCTAATCCTTATGCTTACCCCCACGCTGCTCCTTCTGCTTACGCTGATCGTTATGCTTACCCCCACGCTGCTGCTCCTTCTCCTTACGCTGATCCTTATGCTTACCCTCAAGCTGCTGCAGCTCCTGCCTACCCTCATACTGCCCTTTACGCTGACCCTCCCCATGATGCACATCCTTTAGATGATGTTGATAACGATGGTCTTGATGAGTATCTTCACAGGTACTTGGACGAGCAGTCGTCTGAGGATGAGGATGAGGATGAAGAGGAAGAGATCGACGTCGTCGGACTCGACATCCCTGTTCTTGATGTTGAGGAAATCGGGCCACTCTTCCTTGAAGATTCCTCCGAGGAGCCCGAAGACGCTCTCGTTCCTGGATCTCCCTCAAGTTCTCGCTCCGGCTGCTCCACAAGAAGATGCAGGGAAGACAGTGAGGAGGAGTCTGCTGCGAAGAGGCCGCGGTGGTCAGAGGACAGCGACGAGGATTGAGTCTGCCATGGTTGGGTTTATCCTACTTGTAACATCAGAGCAATACCTGCCCTCCATCTCTTCCTCTTCACAGCAGGACCACATTATTCAGCTGGTAGCCTTAGCGTCTTGCGTGGCAGATCCAGTTAGCATCTTGCTCCTACTTGATTGACACTTTTCTAAATAGTGGGGCTGGCCTTTGCGTCTGGCTGGGCAAGCATAGCCCCAGGTAGCCTTTGCGTCTGGCTGGGCAAGCATAGCCCCAGGTAGCCTTTGCGTCTGGCTGGGCAAGCATAGCCCCAGGTAGCCTCTGCGTCTTGCAGGGCTGCCAACAACCCAGGACGCGTTTTGCCATGGGATTTTCTTTGGTGTACCATCTCATTATTTGTAGCTCAATCTTTCTTTCTTTGATTCTGTGGGCAGACACTGCTCCAGGTAGCCTTTGCGTCTGGCAGGGCGGGTCTAGGAAGTGTCTTGCTCTGATTTGATTGACCTTTTTCTTAATGTCGGGGCTGGCCTTTGCGTCTGGCTGGGCAAGCAAAGCCCCAGGTAGTCTCTGCGTCTTGCGGGGCTGCCAACAACCCAGGAAGCGTCTTGCATTAGGGGTTTTAGGAGTCCCATCTCCTCATTTTTTTGCACGGTGGATCGACGTTGGACCTTGGAGCCTTCACCTTGATCGTGGATTTGCTTGAATAACCATAATAATAATAATGTCATGCCCTCACAGTGAAGCTGACAACACTGTGTGTCATAGAAGACTCTGCAGTCTGCTGTCTATTGCTCTCAAGGTCAACACGAAAATAAATCACTGGAAACCACTGCACTGACATAAGAAGCAGGAAAAAGGCAACAAAACCAAAGAGAACACATGGCACTTGACTCTCATAGCACCTTTACTCACCAATTGTTAGGCAATGCACTGGACACCATCAAACGTCGCGATATTCTGATTTCATTTAAGCCAGCATCTCATTTGGATGCCTCCTGAATATTTTTTCTCCACAGCTCCAAATTATTAAAGGGATAGTTTGAATAGTTTGAAGTGGGGATGTACGGACAGTCAGGGTCTCACCTACAGTAGATTGTGGTCAACACACCCTGTTTGAAGAAACAGAAAGGCCATTCAGCACCACAGCAAAGCAAAGTGTTTATATGGAGCCGGGACAACAGCAAAATATGTTTTAGCCACCTGAAAGAAATATTTAACCCAGTGTACCTTCCCTTTCCAACGGGAAAGTGAAGCAACTATCTATTCTTTCTTAAAAGCCACCACACTTCACTCACAGAACACAGGAGCTGCTGGTCTACCGTTGCCACAGTCTGTTAGTTAGTTTATGTAATTGTGTGACTTAAACTCGCTAGTTTGGATTCACCAAGCAGCCCCTATACACGGCAGTACATGACTTTACTTCCATGCACAAACTCTGCCTCATTTTACGAACTCGGGACGTGCCGACCCCCATCTACTGAAAGTAATACACTGACTATGGGGAATTACCTCAAACAATCCTTCCTGTCCCTTTAATTTGGCCGAAAAAGGTGCAGTAACCATATACAATATATTATATTTTTAATATTCAATAATTCAGAGATCATTTGTGTTACTAACCATCTTTTTCCTTACTTCACTCTTTTCTAACTCCACTAACTGAGAGCTGTTGTTCACCGAAGACAACAAAGATAAGTATGAGCTTCTGTCCTGTAGAGAAAGGGTCCTGGAATAGTCTATACTATAAAAACACAGAAAGTATTATCATGTAACGTTCCTACAAACTGAATGCGAAATCTAATTGTTTATATAATATCACTTGTTCAGTAATACACAGATAAACGCTGACTCAAACTAAAAAGAAATGCACTGTATATGCTTCTCTTGTTTGCCTTTAGAACATCACTAATTCAAGTTTCTCTTTGAGATTGCAGCCATTCTGTGGACATCAAGGTAAGAACGAGCTTCTGACTCAACATAGAGAAATAATGTTGTTGTGTAAACTAGTTCTCTATGTGATATATCATTGATTCAAAATTGAAATATTATATGTTTTACTCATCATTTCATATATTTTTCCTTTCTTTCCTCCACCACCTGAGCTGCTGCGATACACTGAGGATAGAAACACAGTAGAGTAGGAGGATATCAAAAAGAACAGCAAATGTAACGTTTTATGTAAACTATGTGCATTCTGTAAGCTACACTCATTCATACATGCATCGATATTCAGCCATTTTATTTGAACTAACCAGTATGTATATTTCTCTCTGCACTCCTGCTGTTCCCCGTGCAGTAAAGGTGAGTGTGAGCTTCAGACTGACATAAAGTGCAGTACATGCAGGGTTACCTTGACGACTCAAAAGGAAATGCAGACCTGCAGGAGAGAACAGACAGAGGTAACAATCAATAAAAACATTCAGACATTTCCTATAAGTTTCAATTTAGCTTTTTTATAATTCAGATTGTTGCTCATTGTATTTGACTCTGAACACCTTTCATTCATTTCTCATACAGACACAGTGTTCCTCCAGAAAATCCAGGCTTACCTCTACATGAGAGCTCTAAGTATTTTAACATTACAACAAAAGCAATCGCCACTTAAAGAGTTAACATATGCTGAACTCTTACATAATGCAAAGAGAAAACACATTGTCTTCTTGTTTCAGGATAGGACTCCTCTCTTGTCTCTGGAAGTCCTGGGTCTGAGTGGGTGCAGACCAGAGCCATCATCAGAGCGCTCCACTGAGCTCTGTCGTCAAGATCTCTGTTTGTTGTTGACTTCAATAAAACACCCGGACCAATCTAAAGTCAATCTTTCTGTTGTCAGATGTTTGTTTTTTAACTTCAGTGATGTTGGGTATACTGTGAAGCTTTTTAAAATGGTGTATTGATCGCTGGTCTCATAAAATATAGTGGCTGAAATGCAGCTAAGAGTCTTTGGACTATTTGTAAAACACAGAACACGTTTTTTTCCTTTAAGTAAATAAAACTATTAGAGAAAGATACACTTCACTATATTATCTCTACATTTTCCATCAACACAAATCTAGATATACTATAAGAATCAATAGATGTAGAAATGTAGTTTACACATACAAGTATAGTGAGGAAACGGCTCTGACAGGCTGTGGTATGTTGTGATTATAGCAACGGTTGTTTGGCCTGAAACAAAGCAGTTCAGTTTTGTGTAATATAATATCAAGCACTTCTGGTTTGAATGAAAATCGAAAAGGATGGGTTCTGCACACATGCAATAACAATTATAGACATCTGAGGATGTGAAGATTTCTTGGATCACAAGCAGATTGTGTATATAAATCACAAGGCAGGAGAACCGCTGGAAAAGAGGAAGTCTGACCAGAGGGTGGCGCCAGAGGAACATGTGGTTACACAAGAGTTCATTTCTCTCTGTATAGAGAAAATATGTTTTGCTTCAGGAGATCCATATTACAATGGAAACATCAGCATGTTGTGTTTAAAGGGGTTCAGTGTTAAATTGACAAAATACAACCTCTGTATAAAAGAGACAGGAAGAGATGTTAGCATGCTACACACTTCAAAAACATCTGGACATTTTTATTTTTGTAAATGTCACCAATCCAGTGACAATAAACCTCATTTGAAAATAGCGTCTTAAGTGGCAACACATTCTAAATGTCTTAAAAATGCTCAGGCAGTGCTATCCCTTTTCTTGAGGTATGGGTTCAAGTATAACGTTATTTAAAAGGGCAATTTGATATGCAATACATTTACACTCCTAATTGCAGCTCAATCTGAAGAGTATTCCTCCAACATTCACCTACAAATGTAGAATAGCATTTAGATACCAAAATATTTGTAATATTCAAATGACGACAAGTTTCCTTTAGATACATTGTTTATTAATGCAAACAGTTTAACATCAAAATGTTCAGGCATAGAATTATAACAATCCAAATGACAAAAACCATAATGTGGAAATGTATAAAATAAAGAATCTAGGATGATGTTTGTGGCAAGCCCCAACCATAAGCTTTATCCGAAGGGAAGTCTTCTCCATGTAGAGCGCCTCCCAAACAAACACTGGAGCCGGTTTCACAGAAGAGGATCTCCATGCCACCTCATCTGTGACCACGGATCTGGAAATAAAGTCGGATAAATGATTAAAAATGATGGATAGTGTTCCTTGTATAAAAAATAAAGTGTCACTGTCGTAGAAACTTTTTACACAGTAAACAGATTTTAAACTGATGATGTCAACTTAAAAATGATAATGGGATACATTGTTTATATCTACAACTAACCATTTTACCAGATTCATTTGGTCTATAAAAAAGGTCAATAAATAGGCAGTCGATGGAATTGCCAATTTGTTGACTTAAGTGCAGATCTATTTAGGCATGCACATTTGTTAAAAAAAGCATACTCACAGGTTTTCTGTAAAAGGCCACTGATGGTAAGGTTGTGTGCACCAGTCTATGGACCAGAGAATAGCTGAAAAAGCAGGGGGCACAGGAGAACACTTTAGTATTTTAAGAACAAAGCAGCAACTTAAAATGTCAAAATAATGTTTGCTTGCAGTTTGTGGTCTCTGCTCAGGGTTAAAAAGCTTGAAAGCTTGATCCACATGGAGGATTCAGGTGAAGAAATTCATACATCATTGCTAGTGACCACTAGACCCACAGACTCAACTGTTTTAGTACCAAAGAAATGAGTCACAATCAGCTTACTTCGAGTGGATCCATATGGTTAGAAATGATGACTAGCTGGGTCTTCTTGCTCTCCAGAGGTGCCGGTGTTCTCACCTGCAAAATAGTGTAGAAATACAATCATTTTCTTCCTTGCAAACAACCTTCCCTTTTTCTTCAACATATTTAAAATATTTTGGCCAATGCTCAGGGTTAAAAAGCTCAAAAGCATCAGGTATCAGGTGAAGAAAGTTATGTCATCATTGCATCAAGGCCACACTTTAGAAGACCTCATAGGAAAGTCCAAACCAACAATACTATAATTGATTGTGTCTTCATCTACACCAGGGGTGGGGAACCTTTTTCCTCTCAAGGGCCATTTACATGTTTCCAACATCCTCCGAAGGCCGTACAAATGATTGACCTCTGCTTAAAAATACTAAAATCACAGCCCATTCATTTGGTCTTTCTTTCATGCTGTGCAAAGAAAAAGAAACTTCTTAATCCAGATATCTCACCATGACTCATGCACGGTGTGGCATGACCACCAAAACAGAAAGATATTGGACACAACATGTGTGCAAATGTATTTAGTTTCCTATCCATGTGAACATGATTTAAGGGGGGGGGGGACCCTAACCTCCTCTAGGGGGGTCTGAAAAGATTTTTTTTTAAATGTTGAAGTTAAAAGCATCAATCTGGTGCACTTTGAGAGCAACATTAGGAGATATATGGATAACAGAACTGTAAGCAGATTTCTTTATGGATATTTGACAAATCACTCTCCTTTCAAACTGTATTCTTGTTTATTAATAACAACTTTTTTTTACTGTCATATAGTATTTTATACCCGTTTACTTTATTCTCTTATTTTTTTATAACTATAAATCATATAAAGATGTGCCTACCTCACTGGTTGTAGAAAAAGCTTCTTATAATCGTTAGCATAGCTAGCTAACCAGATGCTAATAACAACAAAGTTATTGACTGAATGATCAGAATGACAGATGAACAGATCGCCACTGGGCTTTCAGCTAAAGACACAGCCACGCAGAAACTGCGGCATGTGTACGGCTCCTTGTGGGTACTGACATTTTGGAAGTGCCAGAGCGACGTTCCGGCACTCTCCCACCCCAGACGACATATACGTGATGACACGTTAGGCTTGTGTTGTGTTCAAGGACCGTGGCAAGGAAAAACAGGCGCTTGTTTAATTTGTTTGCGGTCTAGATTTCTTCAATTTTTTGCGTGTGTTTATAAATTACCTCGAGTGCCGTATCAAATGGTCTCAAATGGGCCGGAGGTTCCCCACCCCTGATCTACACCTTTACTCTGTGTTACTCACCAGCACAGAGGCCAGTTTAATGCAGCAGCTTTAGTCAGCTGTGCGATTAAACTGGCAAATCTTATATTTTAAACGCAACATGTGCACACTTACGGGTTTGTCTGTGTGAAGGCGACTGAAGTGCAGGTCTTTCTGTGCACCAGTCTGCCCAGTCTAGCCTTGCCCTTCACGATACAGTACGGGACGCCCATCTTACGGCACAGAGCGGGAAGGAAGACGACGAGCTGGAAAAGCAGGGAGCAACAGGAATGTTTTAGGAACAAATGAAACTCTTATTTTATGCTTGAGAATTCATAAAAGTTGAAGTTGACAAATGTCAACATTGCAGTTTGTGGTCTCTGCTCAGGGTTAAAAAGCTCAAGGTTGATCCACATAGAGGATTCAGGTGAAGAAATTCATTCATCATAGCTAGTGACCACTTTCTAGACTCAACTGTTAAAATAAAAATGCTTACCTCAATTGGATCCACATCGTGGGCAATGATGACGAGCTGGGCCTTCTTGCTCTCCACCAGAGAGGTGACAGTGTTCACACCTGTAGAGTAACAGGAACATTTACCTTTCCAACCAGAAAACACCCTTTATATCCCCATCAGTTACATTCCGTTTTACTTTGGCCAATGCTCAGGGTTAAAAAGCTCAAAAGCATCAGGTAATCAGTTGAAGAAAGTTGTGTCATCATTGCATCAAGGCCACACTTTAGAAGACCGCATAGGAAAGTCCAAACCAACTAATAATACTATAATTGATTGTGTCTTCATCTACACCTTTACTCTGTGTTACTCACCAGCACGGAGGACAGGGGGCCTCTTGGTCGGGGTGTCTCCCTTCCCAGCAGCCTTCTGCTCAGCGCGGGCCAGCAGCCTCTGCTTCTTCTCCTGCTTGGTCTCTGGCCTGTACTTGTGGGCCAGCTTGAACAGCTGTGTGGCTGAGGAGGAACATTAGAGAACATTTAAAACAGCAGCTCCATCCACAGCTGGTTCAGCATCACAAGTGGATATAACTTAGAGTAACTGCATCAGTGATCTTGGTGGGAATGTCAGCACAGACGTTCAGATAGCAAATATTATTAACATCATCTGCAAAGCTACAAATGGTACTGTTAAGGGCCAAGCAGCCATCTATTAGCTGAAAGCGTTCTCAACTCACCGGTCTGACGGTCCAGAGCCTGGGTGAACTGGTTGATTGCAGGGGGAACCTTCAGACGCTTGTAGAGGATGGAGCGCTGCCTCTGCAGGCGGATGTAACGAGGCCATTTCACAAAGCGGGTCAAATCACGCTTGGGCTGGATGTCCTGGCCTGTGGGGAAAAATGCAATATCGATCAGTATCTGGAATTAAGCGAAGGACTTTCTCGTTCTAAAGCTTAAGTGCATCAGCGATCTTGGTGATTAAAGTTGTCTTCAATGTTCTTAAGATAGCAAATATTCTTTACATCATCTGCACAGTAGTAGCCTAGTTCTTACAAAACTCAGCCTATGATTACTCACCAATGGCAAAGTTCTTTGGCCTCTTCTCGAAGAGGGGGTAGACTTCTTTGGTGGCAGCTTCTTACCCTGAGGCTGTACAAAATTAATTAAGTGTTAGGATGCATGAAAGATCAAAATACAAACTTTTTTAACATTTTCCTCCACATTGTATTCTTAATGTGTTATCTTACTATGCCAAACTTATGAGACCCTTTGAGGCAATTATTATACTTTTAAGAGTAATAAATTCAGCACTGATGACATCAAATGGATTATTGCACCTATCAAAAAAAAAAAAAAGGGCTTTGGCATTTATCCTACTATGCCAGCCTTAAGAGAGGCTCTGTTTTAAGGCCCGAAAGGCCTTGAAAAGACGTAGGTTATCTCCACTCACCGGTCTGGCAGTCCAGAGCCTGCATGCGGATGTACTGAGGCCATTTCGCACAGCATGTCAAATGAAATGTGGACTGAATATCCTGGACAGGCGGATGTAACGAGGCCATTTCACAAAGCGGGTCAAATCACGCTTGGGCTGGATGTCCTGGCCTGTGGGAAAAAATGCAATATCGATCAGTATCTGGAATTAAGCGAAGGACTTTTTCTCGTTCTAAAGCTTAAGTGCATCAGCGATCTTGGTGATTAAAGTTGTCTTCAATGTTCTTAAGATAGCAAATATTCTTTACATCATCTGCACAGTTGTAGCCTAGTTCTTACAAAACTCAGCCTATGACTACTCACCAATGGCAAAGTTCTTTGGCCTCTTCTCGAAGAGGGGGTAGACTTCTTTGGTGGCAGCTTCTTACCCTGAGGCTGTACAAAATTAATCAAGTGTTAGGATGCATGAAAGATCAAAATACAAACTTCTTAACACAAGCCTTACCATTTCCCTCCACAATGTATTCTTAATGTGTTATCTTACTATGCCAAACGTATGAGACCCTTTGAGGCAATTATTCTACTTTTAAGAGCATTACATTCAGCACTGACAACATCAAATGAATTATTGCACCTATCAAATGTACAAGTATGCATGGGCTTTGGCATTTATACTACTATGCCAGCCTTAAGAGAGGCTCTGTTTTAAAGCCCGAAAGGTTATCTCCACTCACCGGTCTGGCAGTCCAGAGCCTGCATGCGGATGTCCCGAGGCCATTTCGCACAGCATGTCAAACGAAATATGGACTGAATATCCTGGCCTGCGGAAAAAGAAAATACGTTTTTAATACCAAAATCAAACTGATGAAAAAAACAAACACGTGTTTAAGTATTTAGTGCAGAGGAACTGTAGTCGATAAACCACACGACACATGTCCTGGTGCACATTAATTTAGCCTGTGTAAAGTTGAGTTACCAGGTTAAATACTGGCAGTTTGAGTGAAAAAGCTGTTTCTGAAATCAAGTTAGTTTACAAATGTTAGCTTCAGCTTCTGATAGAGTCACGGTGCTACTCGTGAAGGAAAAACTAGCTTAAACTTAACCACGTTTAACCCAAAATAAACCAATAGCAACAATATGAACCGTTAAAACTTCACTTAAGTCATAGATACATTTTAAACTGTTAAAATAATCACATATTCAAGGATGAACACAGATTACAAATCACAGATGACCCGTCAGTTTAAACTCACCTCAAGCTTTTCCTCTTTTTTCTCGCTTGAGTCATATTTATACCCACTTCTTCTTCTACTTTTTAATTAGGGCAGACTAGGCACAGTTTAGTCCATTGCTGCCTCCTATCGGTGTACACACGTCATTGCGATAGACATGTTACTAATGACAGTGGAGGAAATAAGTATTTGCTTTAATGGTAGGTTTATTTAAACAGTGAGAGTAAGAATATCAAAAAGAAAATCCAGAAATTGACATTATATAAAAGATAAAAATAGATTTGCATTTAACTGTGGGAAATAAGTATGTGATCCCCTTGCAACCAACAAGAATTCTGGCTCCCACAGATGGTAACATAAGTCCTCTTCTTTTAAAAAAGTACTCCTAATATCAACTTGTTACCTGTATAGAAGACACCTGTCCACAGAATCAATCAATCAGATTCCAACCTCTCCACCATGGGCAAGACTAAAGAGCTGTCTAAGGACCTCAAGGATAAGATTGTAGACCTGCACAAGGCTGGGATTGGCTTCAAGACCACCAGAAAGCAGCTTGGTGAGAAGGAGACAACTGTTTGTGCGATTATTCAGAAGAATAATGTGTGTGTTTCTAAATGGAAGTAACAGAAACTGAGCAACAATCGCTCTCGATCTGGGGCTCCACACAAGATCTCGCCCCGTGGGGTATTAATGATCATGAGAAAGGTGAGGGATCAGCCAAGAACTACACGGGAGGAACTTGTTAATGATCTCAAGGCAGCTGGGAGCACAGTCACCAAGAAAACTATTGGTTTTACACACTACACCATAATGGATCAAATCCTGCAGCGCCTGAAGGCCCCCCTGCTCAAGAAGAACATGAAAGGCCCGTCTGAACGTTTGTAAACGAACATCTGAATGACTCAGAGAGAAGGCTTGGGAGAAGGTGACGTGGTCAGATGAGACCAAAATTGCGATCTTTGGCATCAACTCGACAGCCAGTGTTTGGAGGAAGAGAGATGCTGACTATAACCTCAGAACACCATCCCCACCATCAGGCATGGAGGTGGAAACATTATGCTTTGGGGGTGTTTCTCTGCTAAGGGGACAGGATCACTTCACTGCATCGAGGAGAGGATGTATGGGGCCATGTTCCGTACAATATTGGCCGATAGCCTCCTTCTCTCAGCAAGGACACTGAAAATGGGTCATGGACAGGTCTTCCAGCAGGACAATGACCCTGAACATACGGCCAAGGCAACACAGGAGAGGCTAAAGAAGAAGCACATTTAGGTGAGGGAGGGGCCTACCCAGTCTCCGGACCTTAATCCCATAGAAAATGTGGAGGGAGCTGAAGCTTTGAGATGCCAAGCATCAGCCTCAAAACCTGAAGGATTTGCAGAGGAACTTCAGAGAGGAGTGGACCACAATCCTTCCTGAGATGTGCACAGACCTGGAGACCAACTACAAGAAGCGTCTGACCTCTGTGCGTCCAACAAGGGTTTCTCCACCAAGTACTAACACATGTTTTGCAAGGGGATCAAATACTTATTTCCCACAGTTAAATGCAAATCAATTTTTATCTTTTATGTCAATTTCTGGATTTTCTCACTGTTTATATAAACCTACCATTAAAATGGCAGACTGTTCATTTATTTGTAAGTGGGTAAACTTACAAAATCTGCAAGGGATCAAATACTTATTTCCTCCACTGTACATGTACAGTCTATTGTACTATTTCCCCAGTTCTTGCTTTTTAAAAAATGTGTAGTTAATTTACAGTGGCTAATATACATTTGTTTTCCAGTGAGTCATTTGTAGCATCAACAGCATGTTTGCCAGTGAGCTTAAGGGTTTAAAAAGGGTACATTCATCTACTATTGCAATACAAACATGCTTCAAGCTGGAAAGTTTGAGCTTGTACATTCAGTACCAGTCAGAAGTTTGGATACACCTTCTCATTCAATGGTTTTTGTTTATTTTAATCGTTTTCTACTTTGTAGATTAATACTGAAGACATCAAAACTATGAAATAACACATGTAATTATCTGTAAATAAAAAAAAAGATCCAGAATATGATTTTATTTTAGATTCTTCAAAGCAGCCCCGTTTTGCACTCTTGGCTTCTCTCAGTCAGCTTCATGAGGTCGTCACCTGGAATGGTTTTCATGTGTGCCTTGTCAAGAGTCCATTTGTGGAATGACTTGTCTTCTTAATGTGTTTGAGACCATCAGTGTTGTGTAGAGCTAGGGTTAGTGCTCAGTGGAAAGCCCCATTTGACTGTTGTTGTAATCCATATTATGGCAAGAACCACTCAACTCAGTGAAGAGAAACGACCGTCCATCATCACTTTAAGAAATGAAGGCCAGTCGATCCGGAACATGTCAAGACCTTTGAACGTATCCTCAAGTGCAGTCACAAAAACCATCGAACGCTATGATGAAACTGCCCCCCACCATTTCGCCCAATAAAAAAGACAATTGTTTACCATGTCAAGAAAGTTGGAAACGTTTAGGATTTTGAAGAGGCACATTTGTATGCATCCCGTCCTAAAATTAAAAATCCTTAACATCGTATTAAGTTTCATCTTCCCCTTTAAATACATTTTTAAAACCAATGAATCAAGTCATTGCTGCCTTTGCCGCTTTGTAAAAATCATCACGTGTCCCAATTTTATCTTTTCATGCCTTACGGAGGAAAAATAAATGCTATAAGGATCTTATTGGTGAGCCAGCACAGCACTGTGCAGTAAATGAATCTACAGATGCATTTGGATTCCAAAGTACTGTATATTTAGTAACAACAACAAAAGACAGTCTTTCAGGACATACATTTTTTATTCCAAATAGTTTAACCAAGCTTGGTGGCCAGTTCCTTGGCCTTTGCCTTCTCCAGCTTGGCAATGCGGGCTGTGGATTTGGGGCCCATGATGCCACCTCCCCAGTGACGACGGATCTGGAAAAAAAGTTAGAATAAGGATTAAAAGGTGCTCTTTATACTAAAGTGCAATTTGACTCACTCATGGATAGACTTTTAAAAGTGTACTAAATTGAATTCTTACCTCCTCATATCTGTCATTGTAGTTGGTCTTGATGGCTTCCACAAGCTTGGCAAGTGCACCTTTATCCTCACTGGAAGAGAACAGTCAGTTAATACGGAGCTGAAACTAGAGCGCTAAAAATAATGACCAATTTAATGATCATGTCGACTTAAATACGGTACATTCATCTACATTATTCTTTTATAAACATGTAAGAACTTAAAATGCATCAACATTTGCAGTTAAGACTACTTTGGAAACCAACTGGTAAAGAGGAATGCAATCAAACTATTTTGTAGTAAAAACTATGAACTACTCCAACAATAACGAGGGATACATCCATATTGAAATGATTGAGTAACGTTACTATAATGCAGCAGCTTTAGTCAGCTGTGCGATTAAACTGGCAAATCTTATATTTTAAACGCAACATGTGCACACTTACGGGTTTGTCTGTGTGAAGGCGACTGAAGTGCAGGTCTTTCTGTGCACCAGTCTGCCCAGTCTAGCCTTGCCCTTCACAATACAGTACGGGACGCCCATCTTACGGCACAGAGCGGGAAGGAAGACGACAAGCTGGAAAAGCAGGGAGCAACAGGAATGTTTTAGGAACAAATGAAACTTTTATTTTATGCTTGAGAATTCATAAAAGTTGAAGTTGACAAATGTCAACATTGCAGTTTGTGGTCTCTGCTCAGGGTTAAAAAGCTCAAGGTTGATCCACATAGAGGATTCAGGTGAAGAAATTCATTCATCATAGCTAGTGACCACTTTCTAGACTCAACTGTTAAAATAAAAATGCTTACCTCAATTGGATCCACATCGTGGGCAATGATGACGAGCTGGGCCTTCTTGCTCTCCACCAGAGAGGTGACAGTGTTCACACCTGTAGAGTAACAGGAACATTTACCTTTCCAACCAGAAAACACCCTTTATATCCCCATCAGTTACATTCTGTTTTACTTTGGCCAATGCTCAGGGTTAAAAAGCTCAAAAGCATCAGGTAATCAGTTGAAGAAAGTTGTGTCATCATTGCATCAAGGCCACACTTTAGAAGACCTCATAGGAAAGTCCAAACCAACTAATAATACTATAATTGATTGTGTCTTCATCTACACCTTTACTCTGTGTTACTCACCAGCACGGAGGACAGGGGGCCTCTTGGTCGGGGTGTCTCCCTTCCCAGCAGCCTTCTGCTCAGCGCGGGCCAGCAGCCTCTGCTTCTTCTCCTGCTTGGTCTCTGGCCTGTACTTGTGGGCCAGCTTGAACAGCTGTGTGGCTGAGGAGGAACATTAGAGAACATTTAAAACAGCAGCTCCATCCACAGCTGGTTCAGCATCACAAGTGGATATAACTTAGAGTAACTGCATCAGTGATCTTGGTGGGAATGTCAGCACAGACGTTCAGATAGCAAATATTATTAACATCATCTGCAAAGCTACAAATGGTACTGTTAAGGGCCAAGCAGCCATCTATTAGCTGAAAGCGTTCTCAACTCACCGGTCTGACGGTCCAGAGCCTGGGTGAACTGGTTGATTGCAGGGGGAACCTTCAGACGCTTGTAGAGGATGGAGCGCTGCCTCTGCAGGCGGATGTAACGAGGCCATTTCACAAAGCGGGTCAAATCACGCTTGGGCTGGATGTCCTGGCCTGTGGGAAAAAATGCAATATCGATCAGTATCTGGAAATAAGCGAAGGACTTTTTCTCGTTCTAAAGCTTAAGTGCATCAGCGATCTTGGTGATTAAAGTTGTCTTCAATGTTCTTAAGATAGCAAATATTCTTTACATCATCTGCACAGTTGTAGCCTAGTTCTTACAAAACTCAACCTATGATTACTCACCAATGCCAAAGTTCTTTGGCCTCTTCTCGAAGAGGGGGTTGACTACCTTTTTGGCCTCATGTTTCCTGGCCACTGAAGGGGCAGGTGCCACCTTCTTCCCCTTAGGCTTCTTTCCCTTAGGCTGTCAAAAAGAAAACAAGTGATAGGATGCATTGAAGTACAACATACAAACTACACAAAATTAAAGCCTCAAGATATGCATCTACAATGATTGAAGTGCATCATCCTACTATGACAGTCGTTAGACTCTTTAGGCATTGTTCAGCTTTAAAAATCGAGCAATAACTTCAGCTCTGATTAACATAACATGGCTTTTGCATCAATGGCTAAGCATGCAGGTTATCCTCCTTACAACTATTTTCTCCACTATACAGTTTAAGCCAAATCTGAAGACCAGCAAGTTGTCAATAATGTTAAGTCTACATGTAGGAGTTAGTCTCCAAAACAGTGCCCTGAATGGAGTTAGCAAAATCTCCATGTTGACTGGTCTACAGTCAGCATGCCATACAGTTACAGTGGATACTATTAGCTTAGCCGCCACCACTGAAGAGCTATACTTTAAACAACCAAGACACTAAAAATACACAAAGACAACCTCACATTGCATCACTAACAAGACACCAAAGTCACTAAAACGTGGACTAGAGTTGACCCATGACTATTAACTGTAACGTTACCATTCAAGCAAACAGAAGCACTTCTCAGGCCCTTAAGCTATCTCAACACTACCGGGTATATCACCAGGATAAAAGTTACACGTCCCAGTGCAATTACTTTAGTCACAATATTAAATTTAAGTCAGCAAGGTTAGTACTACTAGTTCAAACGTGTTTGGAAAATGCTAAATAACAGCAAAACTGCTCCTAAAAACAAGCGTGCAAACCAGCGTTAGCTTCTGTCGTGGTGATATTCGTACCGACTAGACTAGCTTCCACTTAACCAAGTTTTACCCGAAAACAACAAAACATCGACGGACAATTCTTACATTAAACTAACGGACATACTTCATATAAGCCATTGTAACATTATACGATGTTGAAATATGCATACATTAAAGGATGCAAACAGATAGAACAGCAACAGAAGAATCAGCTATGCACCCACCATGTTGGTTCAGACAGAAAGGAAGACCTAGGGATTCTGGGTAGCCTAAATACCGCGAGGTTTGCGCCGTGATTACGCGGCCTCTTTACGCACCGATCTGGAGTCAGATGTGACGGATGCCTACCCGCTTCTGCTTTGATGTTTTAAAATATAAATTACTGACTCAGGATCAGTGTTACAATTAACAGTGTTAATGCGTTTTTACCGTCATTTTGTTATTTAATAATTTCCATATTATTGGAAATTGCATTCATACGACATATTACTGATATCGATTGACGATCATAATAAAATAATGACAACGGGCAACATAAATACAAAGAAACAGAATAAATCGTTCAGTAATAAGAATACATTAAAATAAGTGACACATGTATTGTCATGATAGTCTTCCTATATTTGGACGGGACGAAACATACCATATATTGGGTGGTTTTCTATGTATTAAATAAGTGTTTTCTGTGTTCATCCGTGGGCTCGGGGGGGGGGGGGGGGGGGGGGGGGGCATTTAAACGACGTACAATATTGCGTCACTTCCGTAAACAGGTATTCTTTTTAACGTTAATCAATACAAACGTTCAATTTAGCAAAAGCACAATAAATAAACGTCTTTTCGTATATATAATAATTAATTGTATTAAATTAAATGAAACAAATATGCCTTCATTGTAAAGATACTGGATGGGCTGGATTTGTTACACTGACGTCGCTCCGTGTCGCTCCTCCTCCTCCAGACCTGCGTCGTTCCGCTCCGTGCCGTGCGGTGCGGAGGATTGGAGGAGGGGGCGAGTTGTTTGGGGTTGGTGGGCCGGGGGTATCGCGTCCGTCTCTCGGCTCGGCTTCTCCAATATCTTGCTAGCATACTATAGCCTGCCCCGCAACCACTATGGATTGTTAACGAGAAAAATGGATGATCATCGTGTCAGCTGCTTCTGTTGGTAAATACGACTCATTCATAAAATGTGCTGCTGTCATCGCTGCAGTGAGGAGATGATTTCTGAGCTCTCGTTTGTTAAACATAAGGCCTTTCAGATGTTACATTATGTGGGGGTTTACTGTGAAAAGATGGGCTAAAAAAACAATATGTATCCAACTATTCCTCCAGTTATCAGTCATAGAAGAGGTGCATGTGATTGATGCACATATCCTGCTATTGTGTTTAGATTATTGTATAAAGCTAGCTTTAGCTACAACAGCTTTTCATCTGTATCACTACAGTTTTATTATTACTGTCCTGTCAAATTAGCAAGACGTTCCCCTGAAGAGTAGCTATGGCTGAACCAGAAATGTGTCCACACCTGGACTCCATAGGAGAGGTGACCAAGGAGGACCTCCTCGAGAAATCCAAGGTGGGTTTTTATTCATTCACTGGGAAATAAAAGATGCCATGTTCAGGTCATTGGCTGTTTTCCATGGCCTACACATCCCATAAGGTTGTTGTAGCAGCCTTATTCCACTCCAATAAAAAAGCATGAGCTGGAATTTATGCTCTGTTATGTTGTAGTTTTACCACACATTTACCTGAAAGCTTTTGGATACTTTAAAAATAGAGAATTTTGTCCGCTAAACATCAAAATAGCTTATAAAAAACGGTATGTTTGGTTAAACACCCATTGACTTGAAATTATTTGGAAAGTACTTTGGTTATATTTATGCTTCCAGATTCACACATCTGGTTGGTCTTTCTATTAGTTGTTTAAATCTAGTTTAAATATTTCTGATATTAGTATAGTTTGGATTGTTATGCATTGCATCTGAGTACTTTTACTTTTATAAGTACACACTTTTACTTAAACACGGACCTTTATGTGTGACAGTATACTATCAAAGTGTTAAGTATTTTTTAATTAGCGGAATACTTCCTCCACTACTGCTGTTAATAAGGTATCTATGGAAGCATCCTTGATGTGTCAAAGTGACCCAACATGTTTTGCAATATTTTAATCTGTTCCTTTCTATTTGAATACATCTGCAGGGAACATGCCAGTCCTGTGGAGCGGGTGGCCCAAACCTGTGGGCCTGTCTGCAGGTAAAAAACCCGATATACCATGTTTAAATCTTTGTTTTCTGAAGGGTAATAATCAGTGAGGCTTTTGCAACTTGTCCCATAAATTATGACCAAGTGCTAGTACTGCTGCATTTTAAATAAGAAGGCTAGGTGAATGTTTTTAGTTTTTTTTCAACCTAAATAATAAAATAACATTAACATTTGGTCAACACAGTACAATGGTGAAGGTGCAATATGAAAACAATCCAAATCAAGTGAGGACAAAACATGGGACAAACAGTACAAAACAACAGGGGAACAATGACATTGATACATACATTGAATTAATATTACAATACAAAATACATGTTTAATGGTCATAACAACATAACATTATAAAACATTAAGTAATAGTTAATGTTGCTCAAATAAGTGATCAATCATTCAGGGCTCTTTGAGAAGAAGAATGGGTCTGACATTCTGCCAACATTCTGTCAGGGATCCATTTATTATGCAAGGCAGGGCAAGTGTATTTATAAAGCACATTTCAGTGACAAGGCATTTGATAGTGCTCTACATAAAACATCAACGCATCAAGACAGTGCAGAACTGCGAAACCCAACACAATACGAGTAAAACAAATTAAACAAAACCAACGGATGTACTATAAAAGAGTTTGTTTAGATGTATAAAACAAATAATGATTTGAAGTAAGTGGCAAACAGAAAAGTCTTCAGTCTTGATTTTAAAGAGCTGCAGCAGACCTGAAGTTTTGTGAAACAATTAAACAATTACCTTATGCACAGAGTATGCAAATGGCGTTATTGGAAATGTCAGTAAGCAATACCAAGCGTAGGGTGAGAGAGTGTTAAGATGCCACTCGGGAAAATAGTTGAGTGATACTGTGGGTGGAGGCCAGGTGGATGCTTAATAATTCATGATTATGTGGGGCATAAATGTAATTATAAATGAAGTAGCTTTTGAACTAAGGCAGGTAAGCAACTACCAAATATGTGCAAGTAAGATAAATAAATATGTATTGTTTAGGGAACTGCCGATTCATAGAGATAAGACAGGAAGATGTAATTCCTTTCAAGATAAAATAAGAAGTCTTTCTCTGTAGAGCGACTGCCAGTATGTTGGTTGTGGAGAGTCGTTCTCCGATCACAGCACCCTGCATGCTCAGGTAAAACCCCTCACATTGAATATAACATTTCACCTCCTCCTGGAAAAATGTCCCTTGAATGATTGTGAGTGTGTTTCCTTCAGGCTGAGAAGCACAACCTGACGGTGAACCTGACCACGTTCAGGATCTGGTGCTATGTGTGTGAGCGGGAGGTGTTTCTGGAGCACAGGCCGGCGCTGCTGCCTGTCCACGCTGCTCCTCACACCTGTAAAGCCTCAGAGCAGGTAACACCTTGCACATCAACATCCTTTGATTTAAAAGGAAAAAACAAGTGCAATTGATGCCAAACCTGTTTCATACTCACCACCATATTAATAGTATCTTTTAACCTCAAAGGAAGCGCCTCCTCAGCCACTTAGTCACCCACTGAAAGGAGTACCGATTGCTGTGGCTGAAGATGAGGGTTCAGAGTCAGAGGAGGATGAGGTTAAACCCAGAGGTACAAAATGTGTGCTGTGAACACTTTTTCTCCAGTAAACATACATTTCCTAACATTTCCAATAATTTTGTATTTTCTAATTTCAATCCCCCCCATTTCTACAATTGTTTTGATTTACTTACAATTGCCCTCATACACTGTCAAATTACTCCGTAAACATTATTCTGCTCGGAATAAATCTTTTTATTTGTATTATCAAACTCCTTGTAGATAGAGCTCATTCAATTAGGTCATAGGGGCCATCTTCAATACAATCTGTAGATACAATTGCTTTGAGTCCTAAAACTAGGTACTGGAGCTGTTTCCTATAATCCAGATTGGCATTAAAGGTGGGGTAGGTAATTTTGGAGAAACCAGTTTGGGTGTGCTAGAATTTGAAAATACACAGCCGGAAAAAATCTGCCACTTCCTTACAGAGCCCCTCCTCCAACACACACAAACGCGCACATGACCAATAGAGAGGCGAAGTCCCTCCCCTTCCGGTGGGACTCATGGGACCTTATTTCGGAAAAAGTTTGTATTGAAGTCAATGGAGAGAGAAAGATTATCTTTTGATCCCGTTTGAATTGTGCCATGAATTACAGATATGATGTTTGTCAATCTTAAATAATAATTTCCATGTCAAAAAAGTCACAGTTTGTCGTAAAACTGTTGAAATATAAGACTATGAAAAATACGCAACTAGAAAGACTACAAATCCCAGAATCCCGGTCCTGACTAACTCCCCTTGTGTGTATGTACAGTTCTCAACGTGCCCAGACTTGTAGTGATTTTCACCTCTTTTAATACTTTCCGCCTCATTCTGAAAGAAAGAAGTGAAATGTACCAACGTGACGGCCGTCTTGGTGTGTGGTGCGAGACGGAAGATGTAGTTCATTGGAGCTTTCACAAAAAAAGTGTTACTTCACAGTTTTACGACACATTTTTATTTTTTTAATTGCAAAATTATCTTTTAAATTGACAAACATCATATGTGTAATTCGTGGCACAATTCAAACGGGATGGAAAGATAATCTTTCTCTCTCCATTGACTTCAATGCATAACTTTTCCGAAATAAGGTCCCATGAGCTCAACCGGAAGGGGAGGGACTTCGCCACTCTATAAGGGTACGAGATAAGTTTGTGCACAGATGGAAGGCTGACAGGCAGGTAGGCCATCCAGTTATTTTAGCCGGGCCGGCTAAAATGATTGGTCGTGCTTTTTACAGTACTACGGTTTCCACAGATGACATTTTTTTAATGTATTTATTGTCAAAGCATTTAATATATTCATTGCTATCGGGACGTTAAGAGCATTCCATGGAATATAACAAAAAGTGTATCTCGAGCTGGTTTCTCAAATGTACCTACCCCACCTTTAATAAATACATATTTTAAAAGAAATATGCTTGGTTTGTAAACTTTTGTATTTCTGGGGATAAAATAACTGTATGGCTCTTGTTTCCACTGTTTGTAGGCCTGACAGGAATGAAAAATATAGGTAACTCCTGCTACATGAATGCAGCTCTTCAAGCTCTGTCCAACTGGTGAGGTCACTTCCTGTCATTACGTTTAATCCATTACTGGGGAAGTGTCTCCTCTTGAGTTAAACACTTGTGCTGATGCATATTTTCCTCCCCAGTCCTCCTCTCACTCAGTTCTTCCTGGACTGCAGTGGCTTGGTCCGGACCGATAAGAAACCCGCTCTCTGCAAGAGCTACCAGAAACTCATCTCCGAACTCTGGCATAAAAAACGGTAATAAACACACGAGAAGAGACATAAATCGACACAGACAGAATGCAGCTATACGAGACGATTGTGTGCTAATGAATCCTTTACTGTTTATTTAACTAACTGTCATGGCTCCCTCCTGCAGGCCCAGCTATGTCGTGCCTACCAGTCTGTCTCATGGCATCAAACTAGTAAACCCCATGTTTCGTGGTTACGCTCAGCAGGTAGGGGCAAGCACCCAGCAGGTAACTACACCTGGCATCACTCTACAGCCTGACACGGTCTTGTCCTTTGTTTTTAAACTCTCAACCCCTGTGTATGTTCCTCACACATTCCCTAAACATGACTTCTATCTGCTATTAACCACTACATTTTTTAATACTAATCAAAGGCTTGACTAGATTGTTTACTTCTACTTCAGTGAAGTATTTTTCTTACATGTCCCAAAACCAGACAAAGTCATAGATGTATTTCTAAGTCTCTCAGTAGAAAACAGTGGAGAGAAACTCTAGGAGAAGTTAGATACTTTTTATCTGGATATTATTGCATTAGTGACTTTTGAATTGCTTAAACTACAATTTGTTTTTCTTAATCCAGCCAACCTTCTTAAAATTAGTGTTTTTATATAATAGGCTACTTTTGACACTTTGTTGCTTTCTTGCAGAGAAGCAGTTAGCATAACTTAGCACAGCAGAGGGAAGCTAGCTAGCCGCAACATGTCATTTCTTTAATTCAGTTTTTGTACATTACACAATAAAAATATAAAAGGTGATAATTAGTGAGCTTGAAATGTGCGAGTTATATTAATATTGTTACCTTTCAACAGTTGAGCTGTTTCCCCCTGCTTTCAATCTTTATGCTAAGCTAACTGAACCCATGGCTGCAGCTTTATATTTTGTGCACAACATGAATGATATTGATATTCTTATCTAACCATGGCAAGAAAACAAAAATAAGTTTATTTCCCATGTCACATACAATATCCTTTAACTTAAGAGAGACTACTTGATCCAGGTGGCATCCACTACTTGAGCTAAAAGAGGCTAAACTGATACCTCAACATACCTTCAAACTGCCCGCTTAAACATTAAAAAACATCTGTGACTTTGAAGTAGCTCTATTGAAGTAAAAACATAATTTTTGATAAACAACTAAAATCAAGCCTTTGAGATGGTCTAATTCTTTGTATGACACTCTAGTTTAGAAATGTTTTGAATTTGGTTCAGGCTAAGTGCACGTTTGATTGAAAGTAGCCTATCTGGTTTGTTGTATTGTAATTACCTTGGCAAAATGTTGACAATAATAGTGTTTGTTGCGTCTGATTAGGTTCTCCTTGTACCACTTCTTACCATTATACAAAATGCTTTTGTGCTGTAAATAAGAAATGCACCATTACTCACATTTCTGTCCAAAAATGAACTTCTTTGCAAAGCTCCTGACTGTGTGTTTATGCATCAGCTGTAATGCATCCTGCCTCTGACTGAATGCAATATGTTTTCCTGCTGCAGGACACTCAGGAGTTCCTGCGCTGCCTGATGGACCAGCTGCACGAGGAACTGAAGGAGCCGCTGACAGAGTGCAGCATGAGCGGGGAGGGCAGTGATGGTGAGGAGATAAGAGATGGAGAGCGCTCCCCATCTGAGGATGAATTCCTATCATGTGACTCTGGCTCCAGCAGTGACCGGGGGGAGGGGGGGGGGGGAGGCGTGGGCGACGGAGAGCTGCTCCTGCAGGATGAGTGCGACGGGGTGAGGGCGCCGACCGGAGGAGGGGTGGTGGGCGTCAGTACCGGAGGGGTGATCTCGGAGAAGGAGAGGCTGAAGGAGAGGAGGGTGTCAGGCTCTCCTCTTCGCGGAGGCTCGCAGGAGATGGACGAAGACGCCGATGTGGATACGGCCGCTGAGGAGGAGGGGGCTCCCGAGCGGGAAGACGAAGAGGAGTTAACGCCCACCACAAACACTGAGGCCGAGAACCAAGAGAACAACCAGTTATCTGATACTGGGCAAGGGCAGAGCAGCCAGAGCAGCAGCACCTCAGGTTATTAAAGGGATAGTTCGGAGTGTTTGAAGTGGGGCTGTGTGAGTCACTTTTTCATAGTCGGTGTATCACCTACAGTAGATGATGGTCGGCACACCCCAAGATTGGACAAACAGACAGGAGCACCGGCACGGAAGCGAAGCAACTTTCTGCTGTGGATGGGGGCCGGATAAAACTTTTTCAAGCCACATAAGAGAATCAATATCAGATTGGGTTTACGCTTTATTTATAATATTGTCAGTGCTTTACCTTGCAGTTAGACGGTCCTTTTTGATGAGGAACTGAACCTTTTCTATGTTTTCTTCAAATCCACTAGACTCTGTGGACAAAATCTTTATCTCACATACTGGGGGAGTTGCTGGTCTACCGCTGCATTGATTAGTTTGTTTGTGTTAATCCAAATGAACAACTTAAATACACCAGAAAGTAATCGAATAACACAAAGAACTAATCGATAGATGGAGTGATAGACCAGCTACCTTTTAGTTCTGTGTGGTACTGTTTTTATCAATGGAGTCTGGTGGCTTTGACGAGACGAAAGATAACGGCTATAGTTGTCGACTGAACAGAAGATAAGGCAGGGAAAATATTCCTAATACAGTTTTCATTTAAACCGTCTTTTTATTTTTAATTGTTGCTGTTGCCCCCTTCCATAGCAGCATATACTGTATTGTTTAGAGCCCATGCTAGTACTCCTATCTGCTTATCCAAACTAAAGCGGTGCCGACCAACATTAACTTCCACTGTCTAGTAATAAGTACCTCATGTCACCCAACTTAAAACAATGCAAGCTATCTCTTTAACATGGATTTTTCTGTTGTTTTGTTTTTTTATATCTAACATGTGCATCATTTGTCTCTGAACTGTCAATTTTTGCCTTTAACATACTGTTTTCTAGAGCCAGACAATGAGGTGACAATGAGCCAGACTCAGTCCACTCCCTGCAGTCCTGTGAGGACGCTTCAGGAGCTGCATCCCAAACTGTCCTCCAGCCCGCCTCGCTCCAGCCCCTTGCGCTCTGCAGGGCCTGCGTACGCCTTCAAAAAAGGCAAGGACACATCCCAGAGAAGAGAAAATACGTTTCACTGCCCATATAACACACTTGATAACACACTATCATTTCTACAGACTCCTGGGGAGTTCCAGTTATTTAAACCTCTGCATTGGATGTTTGCAATTGCATGACAGAGTCAATTGAGTTGTTACAGACAGTGGGATCTATGCTGGAGTTTTAGTGAAAAAGGAAGTCAAGGCACCACCTGCTAGGATCCTTATTGATTTTGATGTGAATTTGATTCTTCAGTAAGAGTTCCTTATGTTTCACATATACAGCACGCCTCTTTTATACATATGCATTTACAATTATATATTTATGTATTGTGAAATAGCCTGTACTGGAGAACTTTATTTTATTTCAGAATCACACACAGTATATCAGGGAATTTAATTCTATTTCATAAAGTGTGCCTGCCATCACAATATACTATAGACTTGCTTGCTTTGCCTTTATCCAAACACAGTATTGCAGGTAGCAATGATTAAGATGCCTTTGTTAAATCAACAGTTTAATGTTATTATCTGCCTTGCCTACATGAATCTTTCAGCTCAGCTGCTGCTCAGTGCCAAGAAGAAGAAACAGTCTCACTTCCGTAGTGTGATCTCAGACATCTTCGATGGCTCCATCCTCAGTCTGGTCCAGTGTTTGACCTGCGACAGGGTGAGCTGCACTTCAGCTGTTTAAACAGCAGGGGGGGCTACATATTTAGTCAGAAACCACAGTATATTTACTTTTACGTTTCCATGTGAGATTTAAAAAGGCCACCATGATCGTTTCGTTATATTTTGAATGACGATGTTTAAAAAATGATCATGCTTTAATACTGCAATTGCAATATCTGTCTACTAAAACTTCTTCCAAATCATGCAGCCCTAGTATTAACATATCCTTTATGTTTTATGTATGACAGGTCTCTACTACAGTGGAAACGTTCCAGGACTTGTCCCTCCCTATTCCGGGTAAAGAGGACTTGGCAAAGCTCCATTCGTCCATACATCAGAACCTCCCGGTAAAGACCGGGGTGTGTCCCGACACTTACGGCTCGCAGGGCTGGGTCACCTTCTTCATGGACTCCATACGCCGGTCAGTGGAGCACTTTAGAACAAATGATTTGAAAAGAAGTTGTCTGATAGCACACTGATATGCTGGGGTCATTGAGATCATCTCTAGGCAGGTCTCTGATTCAAGGTTATACATCTAGATGGTAATCCAGATTATTTCATCACTGTATGATATACTTAGGGAGTTCCTTACAGTAAAAGGAGGCAAGTGGAATCATGAGTAATAGATAGTGATGCTCACTTGATTATCACTCCACATTAGCTCTGAAAATCAAGTGCAAATGATGCGTTTGAGGGCATGTTGGGACTTTGCTATTAACAGGGAAAAGAGATACCATGATTAATTTCCTTCGATGTGAAATCACCTTCTCTTGAATATATGTAGTGAATGTCCCTATTGTTGGTTTCATGTTTCCAGTTGTTTGATATGGTCCAATGACATGATGAGGCAGGCTGCTGTTAGACTTCTGCCCTGACAGAATCAGGAATACCTTCGATGCAAACATTAGTGTTATGTTTCACACTTTTAAAGCAATGTCTCCTTCCAGATATTATGACCCAGATACTCAAGATGATCTACAAACCTTGTTGCGAGCAGCTTCATGTAGAAATTACTTTTCCTTTTACCCAACTACACCCACTAGCCGTATCACCGCACAGAGGGAAGTGTGCATTTATGCATTGATCGTCAATGAGTGGATGTGATGATAGATCATTTTACTTCATGAACTGCTCACAACATGTCCGTGGATTATCTTGAGTTCCAGTGTCAGGACTTCTGGAAAGAGACACATCTGTTTAGTTCTTCAAATTGATTTTGTTGTGCTTGTAGAACCACAAGTCAAGTGCCATGTAGTTTGATTTGTTTAGAGAAAAAGGCAGACATCTTTGTGGCAGATATCTCCAACCCTTGGGGACTCTTAGCTAAATAACATAAATAGCACCAGAGTTATGAGAAGAAACATGTATTTCAGATTTGTGGGTGAACTGCCCCCTTTAACAATCACCACCATGTATCCTCCTCCCACCTCCCTGTTTTGTCAGAGAGCCTGGTTGCTGGGCATATTCAATTTGAAAAAAAGGGTGCACTATGTGTGCATATGCGACCGTTTAAGGAGCAACGCTTTCAAGACACTGTTTAAAGGTAAAAGCCGCCCTTTAAACCTACCATCAAAGACCCTTTCAGGAGCTCCAGGCAGCGATGCTTTCAGGGTCATTTAATCATTACAGGTTTCTGACCTTCATGAAGGTCATTTTTTCTCCGCATGAGGGAACGAAGTTAAGGGGTCTCTGTCACCATAATGATCACGTCTCTTCATGTTATAACAGGTTCGTAGTCTCATGTATCCCCACATGGTTTTGGGGGCCCATGGTGACCCTGGAGGACTGCCTCGCTGCTTTCTTTGCTGCAGATGAGCTCAAAGGTAAACAGGCTACACTGTGCAAAATGTACTATGCTTTCTTGTCGAGAAAATGAAACTGCAGAGAAGACAGCAGCCGGTGTTGTGTTGTGAAAATGTGTCACAATTCACATGTAAATCCTTTCTTTTGATAGGGGACAACATGTACAGCTGTGAGAGATGTAAAAAGTGAGTATGCATAGTAAATCTAGGAGAATACTTTAGTATTTCTTTGAGAAATGATCCTATTTAATGCATTAACCAAGGGTGTTTTCCATTTAGAATTATTGACAAGGTTTTTTTTTTTTCTACAGGTTGAGAAATGGTGTCAAATTTTGCAAAGTACTTAGGCTTCCAGAGGTACGCATTTCTATTGTCTGATCTCCTTCTTTCTGCATATACCAAGTTCAGTTTGGCTTGTGTTTGGCTTCATAACGTGTGCTTTCTTTTGTAGATTCTTTGCATTCACCTGAAACGCTTCCGGCACGAGGTCATGTATTCGTTTAAGATCAGCAGCCACGTGTCCTTCCCGCTGGAGGGCCTGGACATGAGGCCTTTCCTGGCCAAAGAGAGTCCGTCCCAGGTCACCACCTACGACCTGCTGTCAGTCATCTGTCACCACGGCACTGCAGGAAGTACGAAGTTACTTCATTTCCTACAGATAAAAGCACATCAAAAGTTATCTCCATGTAGAGTCAGAATCAGCAGAGGTGTTTATTTTTTTCTTCATGTTGCACACAAAAAGGACTTCCATGCTATACTTTGTATAGTTCTGAAAATACAAAAACACACACACAAAAAAAAGCATGTAGCCGTCATACTGTCGGCTAGGTCTAATAAATGATGCATCTGTAAATATTTAGGTGACGCACTGTTTCACATGACACACTCGTCATTTCACTGTTTAAACTATAAAAAAATGTAATGTAAATATCATATTAGCATTACCGCTAGTTTGTTACACTTACACGTTCATTTTAAATCTGTCATTGCTTTTTCTTACCTGGAAATACAGGAAAAAAAGGCAAATCACTACAATGTAGCTTAACACTGTAGGCTAGGTCTAATGCATGATGCATCTGGTGCTTCTGCGTCTCACCTTTAGGACTCCTAGCTAGGACTCCTTTACTTATTATAACCGTCACTTGACCTACTAAATATTAAAGTTGCATTTGCACATGAACATATTTCAGAACAAGTTTAATCCAACTGTATACAAAAGTGTTCCATGTCCATTAATAGGCCCGACAGTACTATGGGTCACGCATTCACACTCTCTGTATCTAAATGTTTTCTGTTGTTGCAGGTGGACACTACATAGCGTACTGTCAGAACGTGATTAATGGTCAGTGGTATGAGTTTGATGACCAGTATGTGACAGAGGTCCATGAGACGGTGGTGCAGAATGCAGAGGCCTACGTGTTGTTCTATAGGTAAGCACTCAAAGATCCCATCATTTCAAACATTTATACTGAGACTATTTATTCTAAATGTTGTCACTGACTGTTTTTATTTCCTGCAGGAAAAGCAGCGAGGAGTCTGTGAGAGAGCGGCAGAAGGTGGTGGCTCTGGCCAGCATGAAGGAGCCCAGCCTGCTGCAGTTCTACATCTCCAGAGAGTGGCTGAACAAGTTCAACACCTTCACCGAACCGGGCCCCATCAGCAACCACACCTTCCTCTGTCAGCACGGAGGTGGGTGGCAAGAGAGCTTTCCCTTTCCTGTAGTGTGTCATGCATGTAAATGGTCTGCAAAGGCTAAAATCCCTGTGTTCCCTCCAGAGGGACTTTCTCTCCTTCACACTCCCCTGCCTGAAACGCCTCCATTGGACTCCTTTGTTTACTTCCGGAACATAGTGACATCACTATGTCACACTAGCACTTCTATTGGCTAGCGCTAGTCTAAGGGGCGGGACTTTTCTAAGCAGTTGACAAATCACAACAGAGCAGGTCATCTAATCAATCGGAGCAGGCTGGTCTCTGGTTTCAGACAGAGGGTGAAAAGAGGTGCTGCAGCACAGGCAGTATGAGATAAATAAAGAGCTTTGTGAACATTAGAGCATGGAGACATGTAGAGACACTACATACTGATATGAACCTGAAAATGAGCAGAATATGTACTCTTTAATTTTTTACCAATTAAAATAAACCAAAGTTTCTTAAAGAGCTGTACAAAAGAGCTTGTAACTTGGACGCTTCATTTGTAATGTTAACAGTCATATTAACATTAAAGAATCATTCTAATTCTTTGAGGTGTTGAATTTAAGGTTTTACATGAAGTTTTAGGACAAATCAATATATTCAACCAGTGTTGTGCTAGTTACTGAAAACCAGTAACTAGTTACCATTACTAGTTACTTCATTTCAAAAGTAACTCCGTTACTTTACTAGTTACTTACACCCAAACGTAATGCGTTACTGTTAACGTTTTAGTTACTTACGAATAGGGCTCCCATTACTGCCCTTATAGCCTTCATTTCAGTACTGTTATTGCATTGGAGAATAATACAATCTGTTGATCAACTTGACATGCATTATATGCAATCTGGATTGCATCGATATTAGCTGGCTTTCCATTTTTGTATATTCTTTCTCCAGGTAGTTGGAAAAAGTTTTCCGTCCCATATGCCGTGTGCCGCCCGGACATGCTATCATGCTAACTAGCTCCCTGAAAGCGGGTGACTCCACTGTAGCAATAGCCTGCATGTGTTCTACATACCGTGCAATGGCTTTATCGACTTTTCCCTGGCCAGCAGTCCCTTGGTTAAAATCCAGCCGCTGTTGCTTAGGTGGAGGTGGAGTGGCGTCGGCTGAGTCTCTGTGGTCTTAGCTACTAGCTTCGTCCCAGCATGTTGTTTTTGCAGATGTTTTAAGAGATTTGAATTACTGGTTTGGGTAGTAGATAGGATCTTTGACCCGCCAGGACACAACTTACATTGAACTAAAACGTTCTTTTCTTTGTGCTCGACAAAAGTGAAATAGTGAGAATATCTCCAGGTGGAGAAACTAGACTTGAGCTCCGCCGCCGCCATGCTAGTCTTGTTAGTAAACAACACAAACACGCCCACAGCCCGTCTCCGCATGTGACACAGGAAGTATCTAAGTACATTTACTCAAGTACTGTACTTAAGTGCAGTTCTCATCTCTGTTCGCCTGGCTGTTGCCTATATAAAAAAAACTAACGGAGTAACGCACCATGTAGTAACGGTAACTGAGTTACTGAATGTAAAAGTAATGCGTTAGAGTACTAGTTACTGCCAAAAATAACGGCGTTACAGTAACGCGTTACTGCCAACACTGTATTCAACCCACTCACAGTTTCCCAAAAGCTGTTTATTTTAACCATATTATTCAGCTGTTAAATGATGGAGGAGGTTTGTGGCCTCTCAAGGCATTTCAGCAATAGAAAAAAGTATTCCTGTTAAGATTTGAACGATAGTTGGCAGGGAGAAGGTTGTGGAGTTTGTGTATGAGGAGAGAAGTGAATAGATGCTTTAACTTAAATGTGTTTCACCTCTGCACAGGAATCCCTCCTAATAAATACAACTACGTGGATGACTTGGTTGTGATTGTTCCTCAGAATGTGTGGGAGTATCTTTACAACAGGTGAATATGCAACAATATTTGATATTTAAAATGTGTCAAAATGTGTACACTCATGGATCAAATGGCACACTTTTGCTGCTCTAGTGATATAGTTTTAATCACAGCTGAAGACATATGTATCAAATGTCCCTGCAGACGGAACATATGTAGCTAAAACATGTCATAATAAAGGAAAATAATTAAGTCATCATAGACAAAGGTCTTAGCTGACATTTTATTAACTCATTTGTATTTGTTGACATTACATCACATTATATTGTGTTGTTTTAATGTTGGTGTTCCTCAGTTTTGGAGGGGGCCCTGCAGTGAACCACCTGTATATGTGCGCCATCTGCCAGGTAGAGATTGAAGCTCTGGCTAAACGCAGAAAAACTGAAATAGACACCTTCATCAAGGTAACAGCCTGTATTCTGCATGAGTTTACCGGTACCTGTGCATAAACGTATCTCCATGTTTGGGGTTGAGCGAGCACTTTTTCTCCTGTCTGCAGCTGAACAAAGAGTTTCAGGCTGAAGAGGCTCCGACGGTGATCCTGTGCATCAGCATGCAGTGGTTCAGAGAGTGGGAGGGCTTCGTGAAGGGCAAAGACAACGGTACGACCCTGCAGGAACACAAGCACAATCATCAATTCAAGCTATTTTCTAGCTTTACAAAATATCTTCAAGTTCAAAGGCTTTATTGGGATATGCACAATAGCTACAGTGTAGTAAAAAACGTTAGTCCCAGGCTCCACTAACAATGCAGCATAAATATAAGACATAAAACCATTAAAAAAATTAAAAGACAATATAAATAGTGCATAAAAGAAACATAGGAGGAATAAAACAATGCAAGTGAATGTTTAGTAGTGAAGTAATGCAGAAGAAGTTAACTATATACAAGTAGATTAGAATAAGATGAGCTAAAAATAGAACGTAAAATGAAATGCTGTACAGAGAAATAAAATACTACATCATCATTTTATATATATTTGAATTGTGTTTTCTCAGAGCCACCTGGTCCCATCGACAACAGCAAAATCGGTGTTATGAAAGGAGGGCACATACAACTCAAGCAAGGTAAATCTCAGCCCTGGTTGTTGGGCGGTGGTGGCGAAGTCGATAGGGACTTGGCTTGGCAACTGGAAGGTCACCAGTTCAAGTCCCGGCAAGACCAAGTGCTACTGAGGTGTCCCTGAGCAAGGCACCGTTCCCTACACTGCTCCCCGGGCGCCGTTCAAAATGGCAGCACACTGCTCCTAACACTAGGATGGGTCAAATGCAGAGAAACAATTTCCCCACGGGGATTAATAAAGTATATCAAAATAAAGAAAAAGGTGGAAATGAAATAAACAAATTAGTCAATAAACCATTTTATGTGCGTCTCTCCTCATTTAGGTGCAGACTACGGTCAGATCTCAGAGGAGACATGGCAGTACTTGTTGGGAATTTATGGCGGAGGGCCGGAGATCGCAGTGAGGCAGACGGTGGCCCCGGCCGACCCCGACAGCCTCCACGGGGAGAGGAAGATCGAGGCAGAAACCAGAGCACTTTGAGATAAAAACAGGTCTGAATGTTTACTTGTTGGGAAACACTTTTAAATCACTATAATCCCTAACATTCACCAGGCATATACACAGACTTCCATACAATAAATATACTGCAGGGAGATGTGTAACACTTTCCTGGAAGCCGGTCTTGGATCAGGCCCCTTTTTTCCACCCACATAAGCTCATAAATTCCTTTTGGTCAGCAGAGAGTAAGATAGCACATGTGGCCAAACATATGTGATTCCAATCGACACTGCTTCTTGGTTTAAGAGTCCATTTTTCTCTTTGCTTCTCATTTCCCACAGGTCTTCTGATTCTCTTTCCACTCCTGTTCTCGCAGGAAGCTGCGGAATTTGCACCGTGGTGGAGAAACGTCGTCGCGAGCACTTTGTAAATGTAGCAACGCTTACTCTGACGCCGTGTTGCAAAGAGAGTGAAACGGTACTTTAAATGTCACATTATTTATTGGATAACTCTGATCCTCAATGTTAAGATGTGTACAAAAACAGCTGTCGTGTCACATCTCTGGAGGTGTTTTTGGTAGCTATGGTGTGTCAGTAGCTGTCAGATACTGCTGAGGAGGAGAACTGAGGACTTCACTGGAAGCAAAGACCCAAGAGACGTTAACGAGCTTTCTGTTTGCCTGTTTACTAGTTACATAGCAACACATTCAGGCATCATGTGAGAGATGTCACATAAATCATACTCTTGCACCCCCAACCTTAAATACACAGTATAACTGAGCCCTCAGGAATGGAGGTCTGTTGTTTGGTTAAGCCAGGGGAAATGATCAGATCTTCAAGAAAATACCGCAGCAGGTACCAGGAAACATGCATGTGTCCAAAAACAAACAAACACTTCAATAGCTTCAAAACGCATGAATTTGCTATTCCTTTAGTTCAACCCAATCTATTTTCTGTGGTCAAATTGATTGAAATGTGTTGTCCCTCTTGTCCGGCACTACCCATAAAGAGTACGGGCATAAAGATAAATGGCTGGAGTACAGAAATAGCTGATTTTTTAGAACAATTTTAAAACATGGCAGAAGGGCAGGAAGAGGATGAGTATACATTTGATGCAGTAGCGGTACATTTGCAAAAAATCATTTCAAAATTAAAAAATGATCAGCACAAAATGCACAAATCCAGAAGTTATGATTATTTGATTGATCAAGTATATTTCTTATTTCCACAAACAATCTTGTGCATGTTTTGTCATCAGAAAAATAAGCTATACTCACACTGCTATAAATATCTGTGCATCTGCAAGTTGCATTCTTCTTGAAGATGCATTTTAAAATGATATGTAAAAACACACGTCTTCACTATAGCTCGTTTACTCGTTAAATCTTAATATGTTTGAACACTTCCACCCACACAGGAAGCGATGAATCAACACATTCCTCTAACCGCAACACTCTTTAATCGAGAAATATGTATTAAGATTTTTTGCTTTTTTTTTTATATCCTTGGATCACAGATACTACTCAAACCGTGTGTTGTGCAATTTAAAAACAATGAGACACTACAAAGACCTCCAAATACCAGCCTCTGACTTCCATTTAAAGCAGCGAACATGCAGAGTTGCTAAGAGCAGTTACTTTGTTTAAATCTGAAATATCACACTAAATATTGTTCTGCAGATTCCTTCTTTTACAGCATAAATTGCGATTAAAGTACCAGGGTAAAATCTAGGAGAAATGGCACGAAGCCAGTCGAAACTTTGGGGGAAAAATACATAAAAAACACGTCCTCCTCTTTCTCATTGTAGACGAATCACATGCTTGCCTTTTTTTACTGTACAGACCTGCTGAGTGTGCCGACACATTTGAAGCCTGCTGTTGTGGTAGAGTGAGCGATGGGAAACAAGAATGTCGAGTGTTTCTCTTATTTTTATAAAACATACCAATCTAGAGTACCCATTAAATGATCTTTCTGTTGCATTAAATTATGTTTAAATAGCACAATTACTTTAAACTGTTTATAAAATGACTCGGAGCAGACGGTAATTAAAAATACCCAACAGACATTTCTCACTGTAAATATTTTGACATGTCTTAGCAGGAAAAGTTACGAGTACCATTTACAATCTATATATAATAAATTAAAGTATGACAGATATAGGAGCTGACACCAGAAGCTGATGTTGCGAGTGAACTTTACTTTTTGGTTTATTTGACAGTTTTTGGTTCTTGTTTTTTCAGTTTTTTGCAAAGTTACATTTTAAATAACTGCTTTTTGGTCACTTGAAGACATGGAAAACAATTTGGGAACAAAAGACAGGCATAACTATTCAAGTTGATGTTAGCAAACCGTGGCTAATTGACACATTCAAACGTCCCATACGAACATTTTCAATCATATAGAGTCACGTTTCTGATAAAAAGGATAGCAATGTTTACTGTTTTGGCTCCGTTTTTAAACACTTTAGGGAAATACCTGCCTTTTCATGTACCAAATCCTTCTATATATTTATCAGCTAGTCACTTACTATGTCTGTTTAGTTAGGAACAGGTAGTTAAAGATGATTTTTACATCGTTTACCCTGAAAAAGTGAAATAGCGGCACAGAAAGCTAAACAATGAGCTAGAACTATAAAGCTGCGTAAACCAGAGTGAAGCTGCACATTGTTTAGCTTCATCACCACAACCCCTTTCTTATTAATTCATATTATTACAAAGATAAATATACACTACCTTTAGGAATATCATTTTTACTTTCAAAGAAAGAAAAAAAACATTAAATAAAAAGGAAAATCCTCATAGTTCAGACAGAGTCGTCATACTGAATATCCTGTGAGCAAAACCATTTAATACTTAACGGAAAAAAGCCATCATGATTATAATTCTACTTCAAATGTTCCTTTATTTTCACTTTATTCCAGACCATGGTCTAAAATGATCTCCATGTTTTCTTTTGTTGTTGTTGATGTGTCCAAAGAGCAATTCACCAATTTTAGTAATTTGTCTTAAGAAAAACTGTTTTGTAGCATTTTCGTTTTACACGTGTCCAGTCTGTATCCAGCAGAGATGATATTGATGCTATAGAGAATTGTGAGTGTGTGCTATGTTTAGATTTTTGGGGGATTAAGTGCAATGAAAAAAAATGACAAATCTTTGTGCAATGTGGTGTTAAGAAGCGTTGCGTGGTAATTACTTAATTATCCCCACCCGGGAGTTTGTTTGCTTCTGTTACAACACGTAGCTATGCGTGTGAGATTTCTATTTCACAGGGAAATTCAAGCATTGCTGTAGTTTGAGAACGTTCATCAGGAATATCGTGACAGCCCGGAGACAGCCCAACAGATTTCCGCTGACTCATGTTTTCCCCATTTTTTACAGTGTGTGGCTGTGTCATGATCATGGTGATAACACAGGACTTAAGTCTTAAATGATATGTCTTAATGTCTGTGTAACTGATGTAATTACTCATGACTGGTTTAATGATTAAAATTGCCTGGTCTTTGATTTCATCTGCGTTTTCTTTTTGCTGTGATATAAATAACATTGGATTAGACACACTTTATTCATCCCAAATTGGGACAACAAGTGGCCATCGTCATTCATACACAGGATAGGAATAGTAGGCTACACACAAACAAATAAGAAAACAACCACCTGGAGCTGCTGCAACAGGCTGCCTCCTATACCCCGCTACCTTGCAAAGTATACTTTATGAAGTATGTTAATTATGTAAAGTCATACATTATAACCCAGGGGCATTGAGTTTAGGCGGAAAAATTGTAATAGTAATTTCAGAAAATGTGATCATGCACTGCCTGGCTGAAAGTCAGTTAAGAAGAGGGAAAACATTCATAAGTGTGTGTAAAATACGAAGGTGACAGTTACCTAGCTCCCCTAAGGACATTATTTTCTTGGGTTTGCCCGTTTGTTTGTCAGCAGCATTTGGGAAAAACTACTGCTCGTAACATTTGGAAGGATGCAGCAAGGGCCCATAAATGATACAATTCTGAAGAAGATCTGAATCACAGAGAGGAAACATCAATTATGAAATCAGACTTGGTAGACATCTAAACTCTCTGAGAGTCCTTCTGGTTTACATATCAGATACGTTTTTTATAATCTATACAAAAACAAAAATGTATTGACAGAGAGCTAGGCTAACTGTTTGTCCCTGAACCCAGTCTTTATGCTAAGCTAAGCTAACTGACTCCAGCTCCATATTTAACATGCAGACACAAGAGTGGTATCAAATTCATCATCTTACTCTATACATTAAGGTTAATAAGCACAATGTCTAAGCTGTTTGTGTATACGATAATAATTGCTGAAGATACTTTGGATCCAATCCAAAAATTCCAGACTCATCATTGGCCAATACATCCTTCCACTAAGTTTCACAAAAATCAGGCAGCTAATTTTTCCATAATCCTACTGATAAAAAAACATTTGTCTTAAAAATGGCATACATTTGTGCTGCATTGATTTGAACCAATACAAAAAAGAATGAAATCAGTTTTTCTGAATCGTACAACTTAACGGGACTCTTCATTGGTGCAATTAAAATAGATACGTAAATAAAGTCTCCAGATAAATCATATAACTATCTAAATGTGTATCAACTTCCCTTGAGACACTGACTTCAGTTTGATCATTACTTCTCTAGAATAAAAAAAAATAAAGCTGCACTTCTTTTACTGTTATTGTAACTTATTTAGTCTACGGTCCAAATAGACCTATAGTTAAGTGTTAGACCCAGAGTGACAGGGTTTACTTGTTATTTAAAAGGAGTGGGGACAACTCTCCAGTGTGCAGCTGTGATGTCATCTCAAGTCCACCGTACGTATGCCGAGCTGCATCCAGACAGAGGCAGACGGAGAGGAAAACACAGCCGGCAGATGGGAGGATATCATGCACACTGAGAGCCTTCTGCAACACAGGACAGCAGACAATCTGTGCAGGTAAGAGACCAAAACTAAAATTGGCTGAGAGGACATAAATGCAGCTGCAGCTTACAGTACATCACATTACCTAAAAACAATGGCATGTTTCCTAGTCTGTGTGTGTGTTTCGGCAAACTGGACGCTTTAAGGGATGCTTTTGGTGACACACCATAAATACTGTTTAATAATTCATCATCCCAGAGCAGTAGTTTTATAGGACGTTGAATACGGAGGATCCAGGACAGGGATGGGTGTGGCGGGCAGCGGCAGACCACTCCATCCTCTTCATTAATGTCATTCACACTCCTGCTACTGGCTCTCAGCCCTGTGTGATGAAGGTCAACATCACAGATTTACAGTAGGAGGGATGGTTGAGATTGGCACTAATGAAGTGGAATAATTACCAATCATGCATGGAAATATCTGTGCTAATGTGAATCAGCTGCATGGGTTTTCTTCAGTGTATTTGCTAAATAAGTATTTGTGTGTCCCTCCGGCAGTAAAAAAAAGATGGATTGTATCAGGGTTTATACATATTTAATATTCCAGATTAGGGACAGTTGTATGGTTCCCCCGTTTTACCTCAGTTTGCACTTGTTACCCCTCTCTCTCCTGCTGAGCTCACATCACTGTGAGCTAGAGTCATGAAGTAGTGCTGACTAGAGTAGAAATGGAGAACATTACACTTGTTTTTTAAAAGGGACAGTTCACCATCTTAATATTACACCTAACTTTAGTGCTACTTCATTTATGGCTACTTCTCAAATATTTGAATGATTGATTTATGTTTCAATTGAATGTATACAGGGATGTTTTTCAACCGCTAGATGCATTTTGAGGCCATAAAACAATAAACAAGTTGTAAAAAAGTCTGCTTTGTCGCCAATATAATTGAACTTGATGGCATTCAGGATTTGGTAGACAGAAAATAGTTCCTACTTGAAACAAGGTTTGTGGATTATCTTGATTAGCCGGGTTTTCTGAAAAGACATGTTGATGTCGAGTAGTTTCAAATTATTTTGTGTTTTAAAACACGTAGAGTGAAGGTAGACATCTTTACAGCGGATAGCACCAACACTTGTTATCTCACACCACAACTATGATTGATAAATAGTACTATATGTAAGAGAAAATATATGTATTTTGCTTGTTTTTGAAGCTCTTCATGGTCTTGCACTTGCCTACTTGACATATTTTCAATGTATGATCTTGCACAAAGCTTTTTATTATTTCAAAGTGCAGGAGATAGGGTTTTAGTGAGGCAGTTTTAAATCTTTTTCTTTCAACAAATTAAAAAAGGTTCTTCTCAGGGGATCTGAGAGCAGCTCAAATGATTGGCATCTTTACATTTAAAAACAAAATCTGCAGCCTGGCTTTTCATTTAGAATGTTATATGGCCTTATTTAATAGTAATCATGTTTTAAAATGTTTTTAGTTTTAATTAACCATTATCTATTTAATTGTTTGTTGTTTGTAAATGTTTTACTTCTTGAGTGCATGCTTTCTACATGTATACTGTCTTCTCATCAGACTCGTGAAACATGTCCTTTAACTTCTGGAAAAGTGACAGTGCAATGTCTTGATCTGCTGCCATCTAACCTCCATTTCTTTCCTCAGGAATATGTTGCATCCTATCTGACAGCCATGCTTCATCAAGCTGAAGACAGGATAACTAACATGACAGAGAAGCCAATTCATTCATGGAAGCTCCGACATGAGCAGTCCTGAAGGTGATCCTGCACACATCTAAAGCAGAAGATCAAAGTGCTGCAGCAGTATCTTCAGAGGAGCGAGTCACCACAAAGAAATCCTGGAAGAAGCACTGCAGTCCGCTCTGATTCAGCTCCTCTCTCTGCGGCTGTAAATATTGACATGCCGTGTCTGGCAGCTGTTAGAGACGGAGAACACCTTGAGATGATCTGACTGTGTGAACTGTTTAACTCATGCTAATCCTGGCTGAGGCCTGCAGGCAGGGCTGGATGTGAGCCGTTTGTGGTTTTTCGGTTGCTAAAAACACATGGAAACATCCAGTAGCTCCTTGTTGTGTGGTAATTCGTGCTGCACCTCCCTTTTTTCGCGTGTCTATTTTTTGTCTTCTAAGTGCAACTGTGTTATAGGAGGAATCCCACATTCCTGGGAAACACCTTTCATGTAGTGCCAACATTGCTATTACATGAATAATTGCACAATTTCACAGTCATACATCTTATATTTAGCTGGGAATTATATGATAAATGTGTGATCATGTTTTTGCAATGTATCAAACAGCAATATGTTAAACATAAAAGGTTAGGTATACTATTCAGTACATTCTACAATACAGTACAATTACACTGGATTGTTTAATGTAAGCTAAAATGTTAGATCCGTATATATTATAACCTAGAAGAGAACTCCACCAAGGCTGATCTGCCATTCAAAGTTGAATCCACAACCCTCTTCAAAGTTTCATTACAATCAGGCCAGTAGTTTTTCTGTAATACTACCCACAAACTAACCAACAACAAACTTATTGGGGGTTGCACATGTTGTCCTCTCCTGCCTAGATATAGACCAATCTATTAAAAAGGTGTCCCTCCTTAGTCCTCCAACTTGATGAGACTCTTGACTGGTGCAATGCAACCTCTTTGAAACAGATACATAGACAAATATGTCCACTGAATATACATATTTATACGCTTTGATGAAGAGGTAAAGATGCACTTCTTTTACTGTCACTGTATTTTGTGTTGTCTACAGTCAAAATATAGTTGAGTGTAAGAAACAGAGTGACATATATGACCCTCCTTGGTTAAGTTAATGATTCAATTCAATTCAAAACCTTTATTTATCCAGGTAAAATCCCATTGAGATCAATGATCTCTTTTTCAAGGGAGACCTGCAATGATGTTTTTCTCGCCTGCAAAATGTCTTGGTGAAGCTGTTGCATTATGAGGATGAGTATGCATGCTATTAGGGCTGCACAATTGAAAACATATATTTATTGAGAAGAAATTATAACAAAAAATAGAAAATTCCCAATATGGGATCAATAGAGTATAATCTAATCTTATATTGATTGAAATTTCATTTGCATATGACCATAATGACTATTATAGGTAATTAATCCTTATTTACAATCTCAATTTAGAAATAATTGTATGTAAAATACAAATATCAATGATAATAATGAGATTTAGGATACAATGATTCATATTGCACCTCCTATGATGTGGATATTGCACTAGTCCATATTTCGATAACATTCTAATCAATTGTGGGAGCCCTACATCCATCACCTGGGTGTAGAATAACTGTACACCTGTATAATCTCTCCTGAACTTTACACACACACACACACACACACACACACACACACACACACACACACACACACACACACACACACACCACACACACACACCACACACACACACACACACACACACACACACACACACACACACACACACACACACACACCACACACACACACACACACACACACACACACACACACCACACACACACACACACACACACACACCACACACACACACAAACACCACACACACACACACACACACCAC